AAAAAAAAAAAAAGAAACTGGTAATGACGGAAAGATAAAACCTGCAGTCTACTGGAAAAGTGAAGTTGTCGCAGCTGCGTAGAACACAAAATTAAATAATTATTTGGAATAAAAAGGTCGACAATCCAGTAAAAAATAGAAACCGATCGCCCACAATAATCTATATTAACGGCAAATTTTAGTTGCTTTTGAGCGACGCTTAAACAGCGTTGATAGCTGTCTCAAGCAGCTCTATTTAAGGAATTCTTCTCACGCAGCTGCGTTATCGACTTTACCGTAGGACGCGCCCTCGTCTTTACAAGGCAGCGAAATGTTGGAAGAGTTCGATATGAGGTTCCCTAAAAATGATTAGTCGATGAAGGATGAAACGAATAACCTGTTAAAAGGTTGTTGAGCAAAGTTGTTGGAAGGCAAAACAATATAATTAATAAGTCAGCAGTGGCCAGCGATGAAATAAGATAATCGGTGGATGAACGCAGTTGTGGATGCAGAATAACGGCCAACACAACGAATGTATTGCCAAGGAAGCCGAGTACAAATACAGCCGAGTAGAAGGCAGAATAGGTAATTAGCAATAGCGCCGGATGACGGGTCACCTCTAGCTTCTCCATAGCACAGTCCTCCGCTTACTGTTGCTACTATTTTTCGATCCACACTTTGTACCAGTAGTAACGCTAACAGTAGTGAGGAAATCAGTGTTGGCAAATTTTGTTGTAGTTCTAACTGTATTATTGTCGTTGCACTCCACAACCACCAGTCTCCAGCCATCCGATTCTTCAGTTACGCTGTTGCTAATTCATTTTGCGCAGCACGTCAGGCAACGATTTTCCGCCAAAAACCTCACTTCAGTAAACCCAGCGTACCAGCATTTGTTGCTCGCTGTATGGGCTTACAATTGGTCTGAAACAAATGTCGCTTTAAATTGCGTTTTTTTTTTTTTTTTTTATTCGCTCCACTGAAAACTCGCTGACTTGTCTGGCAATAATATCACAGCAAATGCATCGTCGTGATCCGCATTAGGAGTATGAGATATCATTTGAAGCAGCATTTTTAAAACAAGAAATGAAGCAGCATTTTTAAAACAAGAAAAATTTTGAAGCCAGAAAATTAGTTAAAAACTGTTTATGTGTCTTTGCGTTAATTGTACAACTAAAAAGCACACATGACAAGATCATATCCATAAAAATATATATCGAGATTCTCTGCTCTCTCTCTCTCTCTC